CATCTGAAAGAGGAGAAAAACTCCTCATGTCTCATCCCAGCCCTAATGCACACAGTAACACCTACAGAAAGATGTACATGTGAGGAAGGTACCACATACAGGTAGGAGGGAGGCATGAAAGAGTCAGGAGTCACACAACGATACATGTTGGAGATAACAAAGAGGGATGCAGGTATGGTGAGGGAGCCAGATGAAATTATGAGGAGAGAATGACAAATGGGGGGAAATGACAGGGAACAAAAACATAGATAAAAAAAAAAAGGGTGGATGAAGGACAGACAGAAGAGCGCCTGAAAACATCAAAGGGAGGACAAGGAAATAGCAGATAGGAAAAGAAGTGTGGGAAGACAAATGTCATAGAAGAATATGTGCATAAGACAATACAGAAGAAAAGCCAAGATGTGCCAGTTATGGAAAGAGGAAATAAGGGGTGAAAAAAAGGAAAAGCAAAATAAATACCTGTATTTTTTGTAAACTTACAACAGTAGAAAATATAAAGAGCCAAACAGGGAGAAAATGAAAATCTGATTGAGATGAAACAGAGAACGGAAAGACACACAAACGTGCACACACCCCAGATTTTTCATAGGGCTACGTTTGCTGATACCGTGAATGCAAACCAGGCTTCCTTCATCATGTCTGACAACCTAAACCACTCTCCAGGGTGAGAGCTGAGTTTCATTTCAAAGCACCACAGAACAAGTCCCTGGAATCTCTTTTTTTCTTTTATTTATTTTTTTTTTTTTAAATGAGAAAACTAATTACATCCCATAAATATCTGCAATAAGATAACAAGATGTAAGTCCAGTGCCTCAGGGCTGGAATAGAAGCTGGATCTGGCCCTAATTCGAGTAACAGCAGTGTCTGTAAAATTGATTTTCCTTTATGGGCAATTTTGTCTAAGTTATTTCTTATTTCAAATGGAAAATAAAACATAAAATCAGAACACTTTTAACTTGAACACTTGAAATAGAGCAAGAATAGCATTTTCAAAAGAAAAGAAATTGCTAATGCTGTAAATTGCCCTACAGATATCAGCACATAAAGTTTTGCAATAAAAATTCTTTCCATTGTAAAATTTGCTTGCTGTTAAAGTTTGTCATATGATAAGTGTCAATTTTAACAACTGAGAACATTCCAGTCCTTTAAAATTCAAACCACTCTACCACTAAGTAAGTCTGTCACTTCATATTTGTCACCCAACGAAAGTGAAGTAACACAAGAAGAAAACAAGAGAAAAACATCTGGTCTTTCAAAAGCCTCCAAAATTTTACGTTCTGGCAAGCCTGTCTTCCTCTTGCTGTTGCAAGTTTCTTCTGAGAGCTACTCCGAGAAGCTTCTTGGAGCACCATTCAGTTATTTTTGCTCACCATGTTCACCTCTATCTGGTCCCTCAAACGTTGCCTCTCAAGCATCTCAAGCACATTCAGGTAACACACAGAAGACAGATGTTTTTTCCCCCCTCCATTTCTGATTGCTGGACATACCTTTCCACAGGAGCTCTGTTGACCTAAGTGATTCGAGGATCCAAGCTAACACTCAGGATGCTTTTTGGAAAAGCAAAGGCAAAGAATTGTACATTTTCTTTATCTGGAACAGAAACCCCCGGATATTCTGCAATATAATTTTATTCAGATATTAACACCAAACATGATAGTTTCTGAAAAACTTTTGGTCTTCGCTATATTTGTCTGTAACAACAGGTGAGCAGCATTCAAACTGGAGTTAGGTACTTAAATTGGTGTCGTAAAATTTAGGTAAGGTTATCTATGCACATTTTAAATCAAATGGGGAAACTATGCCCCAGACTAAGTTTTCAGTTAGATGTTCAGAGGATTATGAAGGCAAAATGGCTTACGCCTGTAAGATTGCCCCAAGTATCCTAATCTTCATGGTACATGTCATTATATTCCTAACAGTATGCTTAATAAATAACTAATTATTTGTGTATCCCTTGGCTGAGTCCTTGTGCATTCCTGCTGGCTTGCAAAGCACAGAAGCTTGGCCACGAGAGGCTGGTTTCACATTAAAAACTTATCTCCGGAGCACATCTTTTCACTGTTACTGCCATACTACAGTGGCAAAAACAGTAAAAACCTGAAGAGAATGTTACAAACATGCAAATTAGTTACCTCTTTGATTGTGTAATGATGTAAATATTAAACTCTTAATTACTACTTCTTTGAAGGCACTCAGAAATCTTCATTTGACAATACCAGGGCCGGGAATGGGAAAACGCATTTCTCCAAATTTTTATTACAAAAAGTGACATCTTGAATGCCAAAGTTTTTCTTTGAATTATAAAGTTATTCATTTTGAAACAAAAAGATGTTAATAGTCCTTTTACACCCTGGTGGGGTTTACTTTAACTGCTCAAATTCTACATTAGTGCTACAACTTACTGTAGTACGAATACTCCTTAGCATCGCATTTGGATAGTAATATTATATGGCTACATAAATCTTCTATGAAAAGCTGATTTTTGGTCAAATTTTATTCCCCAACAACTAGAATAATCTCCATGGAAATCTGGAGTTGTTGCATTATGACTTAACTAAAACTCCTTCAGACTTCTGTCTGTGAAAAAAATTACTTTGAATCAGGAAAACATACAAGCTCATGGTCACTGTTAAGTCTTTGAATACCTTCACTCACTTTAATAGATTACATACTGTCCTGGGTTCAGCAGCAGCAGTCATTTTTCTCCTTCTTAGTAGCAGCTGCAGTGCTGTGCTTTTGACTTTCAGCCTGGGAGCAGCGCTGATAACACCGATGGTTTTAGTTGCTGCTCAGTGATGTTTAGTCTGACCAAGGACTTTGTGAGTCTCATGCTCTGCCAGGGAGGAGGGGAAGCCAGGAGGAAGCAGAGACAGGACACCTGACCCAAACTGACCAAAGGGGTATTCCATACCACAGCACGTCATGCCCAGTATATGAACTGGGGGCAGTTACCCAGAAAGGCGAGATCACTGCCCAGGTAGGGCTGGGTATCGGTCGGTGGGTGGTGAGCGGTTGTATTCTCTCCCCTTGTTACTTCCCTTATCATTATTATTATCGGTGGCAGCAGCAGTGATTTGTGTTATACCTTAGTTACTGGGCTGCTCTTATCTCAACCCATGGGAGCTACATTCTTTCCATTCTCCTCCCCATCCCTCCAGGAGAGCGGGGAGGAAGCAGCGGGGAGTGAGAGAGCGGCTGCGTGGTTCTGAGTTACGGCTGGGCTTAAACCATGACATGTACATACTTAAAGCACACAGTTACTTGCTTTTTGTCCCATTGGTATCTTACCATTCATATGTGTATCAAAGCCTTTCATAATTTACAAGACCATGGTCTATTCATTGCTATGTTTCGCTATGGAAGAGGAGAACTGAAGCTGTAATACTGGGAAAGCAAAACCCCCAGTCCAAAAATGGAGAAATTAGTTTCTAATGGAGGAAAGAAAAAACAAAAAATGAAGGAAATCAGCTTACTTACAGAATACCCATACTGTTAGCAACAGGAGATTCCTAGGAAATCAGTCATTGCAGCTATTCAGGCCAAACACAAGAGCACAGGATTTTAAGCCAAGTAAATAAATGGCTGCTGTCAGTGAAGAGTTGTGGTAATTTACTGAAAATGAAGAAGAAAGAAGAAGAAATCTGTGATTAAATATATGGAAACTGAAAGCCTTCAAACATGTCAAAAAATATACGACTTTCTAGAAAGCACTAAAAACCAAAAGACAACTTCACAGTCTGTTAGTGCTTTAAGTGTGGAGCAGTAAAAGAAAAGTGAATTTTTAAACTTTCGATGTTCACAAAATTTTCCAGTGTGTGGGATGTGAGGAAGGGGTCCATCTTCAAAGCAGCAATTCCCATGGCCCTACACTGTTTTCAAATGTTTCATGTCCTGTAAAGGCAGCTGATACTACCTTAGCCTTTGTTCACCTAAATGACAACATTTGGGGGAAGTCTACCAAGGAAAAAAATTAGTAAAAAGACCTTACAAAAGAGGTTTTTTTTCTAACCCAGGAATAGTCTTGATACAATCCTGAAGGAACATGGAAAAACTATCCTCATAAAAATAGCATTGTTGATCACACAGAGAAATGCATAGGGGTTGCAGTTTTATTTCAAATCAGGGCCTTTTCCCCCCCCCCCCCCCCCCCCCCCCATCTTTTTTCATACAAACACTCTTGAGGCTGTTAAATGAAATTTGATCAATTGGCTTCCAAAACCCCATTGACACTTCACCATTTATTCAAATCTGAAACTTGTAGTGCCCTGGACTACAAACATGAGCTGTCTTGTCAGCGGCCAAATAGCTTTATTATTACTTATTTCTAACTATCCCCTTGCATAGAACTTAATCAAATAGGTATAAAAAAAAAAACAAGCCCATGGCACATATGATGCACACATGGCCGTAAAAGTAGCAAACTAAAATTATTAATATACCATTGAAATGTATAATTAAACCCACAGAATTATAAAGGGACATGATATGTTTTGAGTTATTGAGTCCGCATTCTGATAAACTTATCTGGGTTTAGTACATGCAGTTACCAAGCTTAAGGAAAAAGCCTTTCCTCCTGTACGGTTTTACTTTTAGTTACTCCAGAAGACTCCTTCATTGGAGTGGAGTTCGTCAAAGAAAATTGCTATTCTCACACTTAGGAAACTGCTGAGGAGCTGCTTGCATATTTATAGTGCTCTTTCTAGAGAGCAAGACTGTCAGAGAAGGAAACTTGCAGTTATGAGCCCTGAACAAGTACTAAAGAGCACAGCAGATTTTATCTGCAGGCCTTCTCAGTTTTTCCTTATTATGTCCCTTTTTCCACCTGAGTGACAGGAAAAAATGAGCTGCCATCAGTTGAAAATGCATCTGCCTGAAGACTGTTGGATCAAGACTGTTCTGTGGTTCTCAAATGGGGAGAAAAAGGAGGGGCTGGAGGTCAACTTTCCAAAAGATTTTTTTTTTTTTTTTTTCAGAGCAAGAGTAAAAGAGGGGGGAAAAAAAAAGGCACTGAGAAAGAGCAGAAATTCAAGTAGAAACGCATGGACTGTCCATCTTGGCTATAATTTAGTCAGCTAAAATTTAGTAATTGCTTCTGCATTGCTTTCGGGAGGAGGTGATATTTAAAAGCAGGCTGCTCAGCACTCAAATGGGACTACTCCAAAAGCTTTGCCTATATTCTCTACAGATCAGCAGAACAAGGGAGACCAGCTGCATAGATTTTCGTTAGGGCCTGATGAATAGGACAACAACTTACTGTTTCGGTAGGACCAAAACATTTAAACTCTTCTACAGGGCATTTAACTTCCACTTTGTTGCTTGGACTTTAAGATTGTGTTTTACTGCTACAAGGCACTGGAGATATTTAACTTCATTACGCTCAAATTACTCCTGCAAATATCCCACACTAGTCTGAGAAACAGTAAAGTTTTAAGACTCTCTTAACTTCGGTATTTTAGCTTTATGCTCTCCTGAATTTACTCACTCCAATTTTCTGTTCAACTTCAAATACTTCTTTTTTTCAGTATTGCCCATGCTTTTGATTATTTTGATTCTATTTGATGTTTCTGGCTTTTCAGGATTTTGTTGTAAATTTTGCCTTTTAGTTTAGTCTTCTTCTGTCAAAGCTTTTTTCTGAAATGATTTTAAATGTTATATTACCTCCATATGTTCTTTTATTGTGTGATTTTAATGTTAACAAAGTACATTTCCTAAGCTGTATTTTTACACTGCTTCAATTGGTTAGCTGAATTATTTTTTACCCCATCCAAGTGAGGTAAACAATTACTATATAATGTTGAAACAAAATCATTATTTTCTTAAAGCTTTTATAACTCCTGAAGATTTTAAGGGTTTGGATTTTACTTGTTTTGGGACTGATAATATTTCTCTTCAAGCTTCAGACTGTAATTCTTTTTCTAATTTGCCTTTAAGTTCTCTTTCTAGCATGTCACAAAAATCTAATTCTGCACTACAGAATTGGACATATCCAAGTGTCTAATCCTCCGTTAGTATTCATGATACTCCATAAGTCTGTGCAAGTGTAGCAAGCAACAGTTGCTTTTAATAATTAACAAAATATGAAGGATTATTTATGATGGCCATTGGCAATACCAGCATTTCTCTTCCAACACGTATTTCTACTGCATTTCTATCGATTGCATAGTCACTGCAGTAACTAGAAAAGGAACAATTGTTAATTTTATTGCATTTGTTATTTTCCTAAAGGAGTGCATTTCTTACTGTTTTTTTTTTTCCTACATTTTTCCCTACTTCTTTTCTCCTCATATATTATTCAGCTCTTTTTTTTTTTAAATTGTGTTTAAAAGTGCCTTTGTTGCTTTGCTGTTTGTTTCATAGTGCGTGGACCATCTTCTTAATATCAGAAACACTTCTGATTGCAACAGTAAGGGCTCTTTAGAGGTGTTATTTGACTGCAAAGTCATCCCCCGCCCTTCAGAGTTGCATGCATTTTATTTGGATAGTTTGAAGTCTCCCTGCTCTACATTCTGGGCAGTTTTAGTCACAGCCTCTCTCAAAAAGGTCTTCTGAGGTTGTTAGATTTCAGGCAGGGAGATTCTGCGGTTTGATCTTGGTTGGTTGTTGGTTTGGGGGGATTTTGTTTGTTGGTTTTGTTGGCTTTTTGAAAAGAACATGTCTCCGCTTGGCTTTCTAAATATCGACCTTGCACTTCTTTATCTGCCAGTTTACAGAATCAGTATTTTTAATCCACTGAACTGGCTCAGAAAGCTTTCATGAGCATTCTAAACGTGAAAATATACAGGTGATCACAGATAGGAAAGGTAACCAGGGAAAAAGGTCAATTCACTGAAAACTGAAAAGGCATTTTGCCAGCTTCGATATAGGCTCTTATCTTTAGTTTTCCCTTTAATCTGTTACATATGAACTGACTCATAAATAGAGCTACACATAGGAATTAGCCCCCAGTATTTTGCGGAGTAAAGACCCACTAAAATCCTTTACTAGGCTAGTTAACATCATGTTAAACTAAGTGTGCATGACCATGTGGTATAAATATTTACATAGAAGAAATATTGCATAACCTTTTTTTTCAAAGTTTTAACAACATTTCTTAAAAAAAAAAAAAAAGGGGGGGCAAATTTAATGGAAAACTGCCCTGAATTATTCAATCGTGTTTGCTTGTGAAATTTGTTTTTCAAATCACTCTATTTCTCTTCACTCTTCTTTGATCGGGTAATTAAAATTTCATTCAATTAGAAATAAGTGTGTTGGAGTTATAAGGCAGTAGAAGGAAGCACTGATGAGTGCTCTCACTGCACCTTTTTCATTTGCTTCTCTGCATTTTTATGCTCATACCATGAAAAAAAAATCTGACATGCATTCTCACATACAAATACTTAGGAAGACGCTGTGTTAATAATAGCATTTAACTAAACATTTCAAATCTGTTCAACATAATAATTTAAACCATTTAGCAAAATATTTTTTCATCCTGTCAATAAAAATATCCCTGTCAAAAATGCCTAAACTTAGCGCACACATAGAAGCCTGTTTCTGTTCTTCCTGCAGAGTATGTTTTTAAGTGGATTTGACACTTTTCAAAGGTGTCTATAACTGAGGTATTGCCTGTGCCAGTGTAAAGCAACCCTGAAATAAGGAGTGTGCTCAGAGCAGCTGCAAGTCCAGTATGCAGCTGCTGATGGTGGCAGGTATGCTTTTACAGAGACCTCTGTGAAAGCTGCAGCTGCTAATGAGACCCATGTTTTTCGGTGGTGGGAATATATTTGCTTAAAAGAAAAATTAGAAAGGTGCCCTATTACACTGTGGGGAACTATCTGCAACGGCCCACAGCAAACCACCAGTTGTAACATATGCTGAAGTTAAACGAAGCTCTGCGGGGAGCAGATCCAGTTCACTGCTGTGATGGATTAAAAACATAAGTTAGAAAGAAACCATAAAAACACCTTTCTGAGCCCAAAGCATGCAGATTCTACAAAGACTTATTACTGTCCTGGGTTCAGCAGCAGCAGTCAGTTTTCTCTTTCTTAGTAGTTGCTGCAGTGCTGTGTTTTTTACTTTCAGCCTGGGAACAACGCTGATAACGCTGATGTTTTTAGTTGCTGCTAAGTAATGCTTGCTCCGACCAAGGACTTCCTCAGTCTCATGCTCTGCCAGGGAGAGATGCTCTGCTCTGTCATGTCTTGGCGACTTTCAAAGTTTGTTGTTTCAGTGTACGCTTTCTCAAACTTTTGAATGGGTTGCGTCAGTAGGTCTGGCTCAAAGCCTGACACAAGGTAAATACAATTTATTTTCCTAGAGCTAAAGAGGTTTCAGAAGTCTCAGGATTAAAGAAAAGAGTAGCAACATGCTTTGAAATAAATAAGCAGAGAGGTAGGTTAAGTTGGCAGGAAAACTATAGTGCCACAACCCTAAAGCAATCTCTTTGAAGTGAACATCCACACTCTTGACACATATTCAGAGACCTGTAAATTCATAAATAAAACTGAAAGTTTAATCATTTGTTAGCACATGACATGGACAATGATGTAATTTCCAGCAATTCTGCTTAAATTTTTTTCTTAGCTTAAAAAGAAGAAGAAAAAATATTTCTATTTTAAGTTTCTATAATAGAAAACTCCTATCAGCCTTTGGATAGATGTTCTAAAGCATACTTATTAGTGAGCCTAAATAGTTTAGATCTTAGAAGCTTTTTAGACCTGGCTTCTACTTCTGGTGATTTCATGTCATTATACGTTGTCGTCTTGCTTGAAAACCCTTTCGTCACCCCATCCTTGCTCCAACCACGTCAAGTATGTTCAGGAACTGAGATACTCTACAGTTTCTCTTTGGTATTAAAGTGATCGAGCTTTGAGAGCTCTTTTTAGACATGCTTCTCTATTCCTTTGATAATTTTTGCAGTTTATCCATACTTTCCACTCAATTATTGGTGTTCTTGGAGTACCTTCGAGAGATAGCTAGCTATACCAATCTCAAATATTTATTCTCTCTCCTATTGAAGTTGGTCCAATTTTCTCATTTCAGAACTACATAAGCACTTTTGACAGGAGTGTTACACTGTGAGATCATTTCCACCACAACCCCCAAACCCTTTGAAGTCACTGCTTCCCAGAAGAGTATTTCCCATCCTGAAATTACTTTTTAACTCAAATGTTTGTCTATATATTTTTTTACATTTAGTTGAGCTGTTGTTTTCCTATGGCTGGTTTATCAATTAACATGTATCTTCCAGGCATTTGTCTTCATACTTACTTCCCACTTATGGGCCACACGTGGATTTCCCTTCTTCTGTGAAGAAAGCTGTGCCACTCAACACTTTGTAGATCTAGTCCAGATCTCTCATTGATCTTGTGTAGTTACCCATGACTGTTCCAATGTCTTTCTTCCATATGCTACACCAATGTCACATTATTCTGTCACACAGACAAGAGCAATGCAATTGAACTTATTTTCTATTTCTTCATTTCAAAAAAGGACATGTAAGTGCCACAATTTAATTTGCATTAAGTAGCTGCAAACTTTAATGACTCCAACTGTTATTATTTGCCATTGCCACAATCAGGATAACACAAGCTTGCTCAGATGTGGAAAGAATATCCAGAAACCGCCTTTTCCCTCCATAGCCATCAGGTACCATAACAGAACAGTGACTCCTCCCCCCTTCATTACTTTTTCAGCTGTGGCAAGCCAACATGTGTCACCAATATGCAAGTTGTACCTTCAGGCAGAAATTATGCTTGTTGCCAGAAAAAGATTAACTTGATCTGAACCCCTTAGTTTATGAGTTCAAGGATATAGGCAAGCAGAAGAGCAGGATATTTAGAAGCTCCATTACACATGGAAAACAAATAAAATATGTTTATCATTCTTCCTTAAATTTAGCCCTTATGTCGTGGCCCCTTCAATTTTCCCTTTTGCAGATCCTTCTGCCATCAGCTAAGGAGTAATTCTTGCCTTCTCCGCGGCATCCAAGGGAAGCAGGGAACTCCTGAGGAGGCATCTCCCAGTCCTTCCCTGTTACAGCTACACCATATTAAAGCCGGCCTCAAGCACAGGCAGCCAAATGGCCAAGAGTGGGGAAGAGGCTGTTGGTGCACTCGGGGCCCCAACAGTCTCTCAGATATAACATCCTGAACTGATCAGCAAGTCTTACCACTATAGCTGTAGCCTGCCTTCTATGCATGTACTGCACAGTAGGAACCACTACCAACTAATGCTACATCGCCTATTACTCATTTTGCTTTCCATCCACTGCAAATAGGTA